ACAAATTAATATATGGAACATGGTGAGAAACGGAAAAGCGGAATAACAAAACAAAATACGAGAAAGAAGGTGATGAAATATCTGATAGTCGACATAATGAATGCTATTATATATATATATATATATTATATAAGCAGATGTATAGAAAAAATATATTCCAAAAGAGATAAAAATTTGATTTGTGTAAGATAAATTTTATCTGTCCACGTAAAAAAGTGAAAAAATTAAAAAGTAAGCATTTACCGTATAACTATTTTTTTCTATTGTCATATAGATCATATAGATCAAGTTTTTTTTCAATTACGAGAAATACGAACCATCAGAAATATATTCAAAAAGATAATTTAATATGTATAAATGGTATACTACAATTGCATAATTCTTATTAGGGATAACTTATCGTGGCATCGTTATCTATATAAATGATGTATTTTGTAGGAAAGAGAGGTTATAAGTAACATATTGTCACGATAATTATCTTTAACGATCACGCGGTTGTATTCATTATTCTCTTTGTACTCAAGTGACTGTGCAAGTTCAAGATAACAAATCGAATATCTTTCACTATGACAAATAAAATCAAGGTAAGAGAATTTTAATTTTAATCACACATTTTATAGAAATATGTTGACATTACTTGAAAGAGAATTTCTGGATTCTTAATTCACATGTCATTTTTTAATTATTTATATCAACTAACCTCGAAAATATTGTAAGTAGTTAATTTTGAAAATCACTCGAAAATAGGTATCTGTGATGTATTACATTATGTTATTAAATTTGACATATTATGGCAAGAACATTTTTTGCATGATATATATATATATATATGTATGTATAGTAATTAATATATAAGTACATTAAAGTGTAATTCTAATAAAAATACAATAAAAGTATAATTCTAATCTAAATGTAGAATTGTTATTGATATTTTTTATATTTTTTAGGTGGGAATAATATGTGGTTCGGGTCTGGGTGATGGCTTAAACAAAACATTTAATTGCAGCAGTATCACAAGTCGCGAGAATGCAAAGAATGATTTCGGATATCCATCCAGTGACCTCTATCATGGATGCATTGATGGAGTAGATATAGTGCTATTGGCCAGGTAGAGAATTCTTTATAAATTTTTTAATTCTTATAACTATTTCTAAAGCCTTTACAATTTATGTTTGTATTTTAATATTTTGCCTTTAACTACTAAAAATAAATGTTTCTGTTTATTTAACAATGTTTGATTTATGTTTTGTTCATTAATAAAAATATTTTTTTCTCTTCATTTAATGTAGACATGGCGCAGGACATGTGTTCAGTCCTACTAGAATTAATTACCGTGCTAACATAGAAGCATTGCGACTTGCTGACTGTACCCATGTACTAGCGTCTACTGCGTGTGGATCGTTAACAGAGTCTATTGGTAAGGGACAATTAGTCGTGCCTGATAGCTTCATAGATAGAACTATTTCTAGGAAAGGTACATTCTATGATGGAACATCTACCATGTATAACGGTAAATATATCATGTATCTTTTTTTTTCTATAAGTATAATTTTTAAAATATGTTGCCTTTAAAATTACAGGAGTATGCCATATGCCTATGGAGCCTGCATTTGATCCGCGAACATCGGAAATCTTATTGCAAGCAGCAAAAAAATTGGGATATAACATAAGGAAGGGTGGAACAGTAATAACTATTGAAGGTCCTCGTTTTTCATCTAAAGCAGAGAGTAATGCTCTGCGTCTTTGGGGTGGACATTTGGTCAACATGACTATATGCCCAGAGGTTTAAATACTACAATAAACTTATACAAATAATATATATATATATTATATATATAT